GACACAGAGAGAGAGAGAGAGAGAGAGAGAGAGAGAGAGAGAGAGAATCGTGGGGATAGAGGGGAGAAGGGAATGCCAAGAGTAGAAAACTGTCACTAACAATGGCAATGGAATGTCAGAGAGAAGTACAACACACGGACTTAGTTAGTCAAACACTAAGTAAACAAAGACAAAGTAAGTAAACAATCGACCCCGTCACTATAGACTCCATACCCGCTGCTGCTATCTACTATCTATGACAAACTTGGCGCAGTAGGCCTACCCTGGCTGTCTTTCCAAGGTCAAGATTCGAGAATGGCGTTTTCCTGAAACGAGAAACGATTACGATGTTCGTGGGGGTTGAAGAATGATCTCCAAAGAATCAAAAGGGGTCTGAAATTCAAAGATGAAAAAAAAAAAAAACACCCAAAAAAGACGTGTTTTCTTTCCGTGTACCATAAAACCTTGGTCAGCATTTTGGTTGCCGTGGAAACTGTGGGTTTTTTTTCCCCAGTTGCTAGGGATAACAGAGGTAAACCATTAGACCTATAAACTGTTCGCTCGCAAGTGTTGTCTTGTTCATATTCCGACAGTTTCATAATGTTGGTCCTTTTTATGATGGTTTAGCCTTCGGCAAGATTCACATCTGTAGCCTACGTTTGTAGATAATGAGTTTGAAATGTTGGTAAGACTGTTTTTGATGTTATCATACTCATACATGCATAAATCATTAATATTAATATGATCATAGACTAGCATTTCTAGATGTCTCGAAAGTAAAATGAGCCGTGAAACGGGTTGAATCGGCAAACTGTTGCTGGACAGTTATTATTTCTTACAGAGTCCTTGAACATTTGGGATGAGGCCAATTGTATAATTTATATTTCTTCTGTGTGATTAAAGATAAACACCAAAAAAAAAACAGGCAGCTGGTAACTGGTAAACCTATCAACTCGCCGACGGCTATAGGTCAACAATCTTGGAGTAACAGTATGAGATCTAGTTACTCCAAGTCTACAATGTACCTGACGGTATCGGGAACAACAATTAATTATAATAATTTTATGCCCTCTGTTGTGTAGGCTGTGTTCCATTTGTAGACCTACGGTGAACGGTCGATGCCTGAGGAATTTTTTAAAGTAAAAAACAAACAACC